CAAGATAACAAATCCCAAAATCTCAGTGCAGCTGCCCTGGGAGGGGAAACGACACCAAAGGACACAAAGCCCAGCTGCTCAGGGAGCACCAAGGTGAGCATCCAACTGTCTGATTGCCGCTGGGAAGCGTTGCTGGGGTGTCAGCAGTGGCACCCCCGCAGCCCCCCGGCGTCCCCGCTGTGCTGGGCTGAAGCCGAGCTGCGGGAGGCAGCGAGGGCGATGTGTGACATCGGGGGGCGGCCGGCAGCTATTTCTGCTCCGTGGCAGCACCCACTGACAGCAGCGCCCTGGGAGCACTGCAGAGCTCCAGGCATCTTTTATCCCGAGTGGAATTCACCTGGAGGTAACTGTACAACCCCCAGCATTGTCAGGTGTGGAGCTCGCTGGGTCTAGGGGCAAAGCTGGGGGGCTTGGGGTCAAAGGGAGCTGCTAGCACCCGTGACACCCCCATTTAGGGTCCCGAGATTCCCCCTTATCTGATGGGCAGAAGCTTCCACAAATCCCTTCTCCTTCCTTCTGCTCAGGGTCACTCTTTTTTTTCCCCTTAATTTCTTGGGACTTGGAGCGAGACCCAGGCAAACACAACTGATTGTGTAACGTTTTGCTCAGAAAGCTTCTTAAACAGTCACATATTTCTATTGGATTTCCCTTGCCCTTCACTGCTGATTACTGGAGTATTTATATATAAATAGAAGCTGTCTTCCCCATAATCTGCTTGTTTCTCCTAATTAACTCAGGGCTGCTCTCCTTGGGTTGCTCAGCCCTTGGGTTTTGGGGGTGCCATCACCCAGTGGCACTCAGTGAACCCAAATCTGTCAAGTTTCTGCTGAAATTGCTTTTTTAGCTGGTTTTGAAGAAGCAAAACCCTCCTTTCCAAACTTCATGTGCTCGGTATCTGCCCCATCCTCCCAACCCCCAGCTGAGGGAAGCGCTCAAATGTGATTTCTCCATCTTCCTCCCTCCTCACACAACTTTCCCCTAATTCAAGGAACGTCTCGATTTGATAATTATTTTAATCATTATTACTCATCTTTCCCCTTTCTTCCCCCCCCCACCCCCCCCCATCAAAACTTCGTCCTGGGCCTGTCAATCACTTTAATAGCTGTTTACAACCTATCATCAAGTCTTGCATAACATCCACATGACTTCACTCAGATGCCTCCGACACCCAAAAGCTGCCCCTGGGCTCTATTTCAGGAGTGATGGAGCCCACGGCACCAACTGGCTGCATCCCCCGCCGGCATGCCCGGGGTCCTGGGATGGGGAAAATCAAAGCCAAAGACATGCCCGAAGCAAAACTATTTTGTAGCTAACGCGAGACAGCCCCACGCTGCTCCCCCGTTGGGGTTTTGGGGTGAAGGTTGGTTTGGTGGGCTCAGACCCCCTTCCCAGCATGGAGAGGAGGGGAGCGAAGGGCACCGGGATGGCACCGGGATGGTACCGGGAGCGGCCCTGGGATGGCAGCGGGATGGCCCCGGGATGTGGCACCGGGAGCAGCCCCGGGATGTGGCACCGGGAGCGGCCCCGGGATGGGGCACCGGGAGCAGTCCCGGGATGGCACCGGGAGCAGTCCCGGTATGGCACCGGGAGCAGCCCCGGTATGGCACCGGGATGGCACCGGGATGGCACCGGGAGCAGCCCCGG